GGGGCAAGGCAGCTAGCAAACGCTTGGCACGGCTGAGCGCGCAGCGGCTCCCGCGGCCCCCGTGTTTCCTTTTTAAGGCAGCCGCTCGCACAAAGAGCCCGCTCAGCTCTGGGAAGACGCCCAGCAGCAATTACTCGCTGCAATTAAAGCGAAAGAAGGCGACCGCCTTTCCTCCAAGCCCAGGAAGGGAGCCCGGCTCCGAGGTCCGACTCGCTGGTTGGCTTTGCAGAAGGCCAGCGCGGGATTTCGCTCCGAGCTCTCGGCAAACGCGTTGTCCAGAGAAGGGCAAAGCCTGCGTAAGCAGGCGTTGAACCTGGCCTTGCTGGGCCAGCCTTGCACACGGAGAGTATTTCTGAAACGCTCCTCCGTCAGCCTTTCACTTTCAGTTCTCCGGCTGCGGCACGTTGGGGAATACCGCGGGGTTTCGAGTGGAAACGACAAAGGACGACAAGCAAACCTGAACGCAACAAGCCCATCCGGTGAGGACAGGGACTTCTGAAGACCGACCAAGTCCTTTGCCGGCACAAGTGCATCGTAGCCCCCCCCCACCCCCGGTTATTTTAGCCTCCCATCCTCTCTCTTTTCACTGCGCATTTGCCCTGCTCTTAACCGCTTCCTTTGGCATCTGCGTCTGGCCACGCTTGGAGAAGGCACGCTGCATTAGCCGCGCTGCTGATGCGATCCAGCCCGGCCGTCCTGTTTTTAAGGAGGAAAAACGGCATGGAAATTGCAGCTACCTCCACGGCATAGCAGCATGCACCACGGCCGGCATTCACGCTGTGACACACAGAGACCTTTAGCCTCCTAAGCACTTACAGTAACACATATAACAAGGGCTAAACTCGCTAAATGATTTAATGCGCAAAGGGATTGGCGGAGAACGAGGGTCCTCTGGTGCTTACTAGCCAAACCACTGAGCGCTTTGCTCCAAGCACATCCCTGGTGTATCTCTAGCTCAGTCCAAGGATTGAAGATGGCTTGGTCAAGTGCAGACTAAAATGCCTTTTTGAAATTAAAATGTGATTGTGCATCTGGGACTGCCTGGAATTCTGCTCGTTTTAATTTGTTCTAAGCTGAAACTCGAGAAGGTTGGAAAAAAAAAAAAAAGGGGGGTTACCTGAAGTGTAACGTCAGGGCGAAAAAACCATCCCTGGCAAGGTCAGGGATCGTGCGTCAAGTTTCTTTTTGGTCGAGAGTTCCTCGCGGCGACCGAGAAGCGCCTGCGGCTCAGCTCTCTGAGGTTGAGATCCTGCCTTTTTATTCTTCTTACTACTATTATTATTATTATTATTATTATTTTTATTTTTTTTGCCAGGAGAAAAAAGCAAAACCAGACGTAGGCCGAACGAACGGACCTAATTGGTAACACATGCCGTGCAGAACACGGCTCCCGAGGGGAAATAAACTGTGAAGGGCAAGGCCGAGCTCTGGCCTTGCCTAGCATCCCGGCAAGACAACCCGGATGCTCGCCTTGAGCTCGCTGACGTGAAACGGCGCGGTAACGTGCAGCAGGGTGGTGGAGAGCAGACAACCCTCCCCGACAGCCCCATTTCCTCTCTGCACCGAGCATCCCCGGGCTCGCACACCTAACGCCGGGGCTGTTGCAACCACCTGCTTTGCTTTCTGCCCGACACCCATCTCCCGGGGGTTGCCGGCGTTATTATTTTTTAAGTCGCAGCTTGAAACGGAGGCGGCTGAG